CATGGGCCACTCGATCCACAACGTTGACATCAGCAAACTGCTCACCCACACGACGCCATACACGCTGTCTGCCATCTGCCCTGTACAGTGAAAACTGGGATTCATCCGTGAAGAGAACACCTCTCCAAAGTGCCAGACGCCATCGAATGTGAGCATTTGCCCACTCAAGTCGGTTATGATGACGAACTGCAGTCAGGTGGAAACCCCGCTGAGGACGACGAGCATGCAGATGAGCTTCCCTGAGACGGTTTCTTACAGTTTGTGCAGAAATTCTTTGGTTATGCAAACCGATTGTTGCAGCAGCTGTCCGGGTGGCTGGTCTCAGACGATCTTGGAGGTGAAGATGCTGGATGTGGAGGTCCTGGGCTGGTGTGGTTACACGTGGTCTGCGGTTGTGAGGCCGGTTGGATGTACTGCCAAATTCTCTGAAACGCCTTTGGAGACGGCTTATGGTAGAGAAATGAACATTCAATTCACGGGCAACAGCTCTGGTGGACATTCCTGCAGTCAGCATGCCAATTGCACGCTCCCTCAAAACTTGCGACATCTGTGGCATTGTGCTGTGTGATAAAACTGCACATTTTAGAGTGGCCTTTTATTGTGGCCAGCCTAAGGCACACCTGTGCAATAATCATGCGGTCTAATCAGCATCTTGATATGCCACACATGTGAGGTGGATGGATTATCTCGGCAAAGGAGAAGTGCTCACTAACACAGATTTGTGAAATAGGAAAAATAGGCCTTTTGTGTACATAGAAAAAGTCTTAGAACTTTGAGTTCAGCTCATGAAAAATGATGGCAAAAACAAGTGTTGCATTTATAATTTTGTTCAGTGTATGTTAAAATCAGAGTTTTAAAATCAATACGTGATCGAACCGGGAGCCAATGAAGTTGCTGGAGCACTGGGGTAATGTGATGGCGTGAGGATGTATAAGTCAAAACCCGCGCAGCTGAGTTTTGAATATATTGTAGTCTCTTAACAGAACTTGCTGGTAAACCCCCAAAGAGAGAATTGCAATAATTGAGCCATGATGTGCTAAGGGCATAAATAAGCCTCTCCGCATCAGGCCAAGAAAGAATGGGTCTAATGCGAGCAATGTTACGAAGATGGAAAAAAGCAACTTTAGTTATGTTTTTGAAGTGAGAATTAAAAGTCAACTGTGCATCAAAAATCACACCCAAAATACACACCTGAGCAGAAGCAGATTTTTGGGTATTATCAACTGAAAGTTTAAAATTACAAAATTTAGTAATATTAGATGGAGTGCCAATTAATACAATTTCCGTTTTAGAACAATTTAGTTTTAAAAAGTTGTGTTTCATCCATGCCTTAAATTTCAGCAAACAGGCAGAAAGAGTTCAAAAGGAAGAAGTGGAATCAGGCTGAGTGCTAATATAAATCTGGGTATCGTCCGCATAACAATGATAGCCCAGGCCATACTTCTGAATAATCTGCCCAAGAGGCAGCATGCAAATACTAAATAAAACAGGTCCCAAAACTGACCCCTATGGGACCCCCTGACACAAAGTCACAGTCTGAGATCTATTAGTACCCAGGTAAACAAACTGAGAACTGTATTTTGCAGACTTTATATTTGTTTTTTACCCAAGTAATATTGAATAACTGAAGACAGTTTTACTGGGAAAGAAAAACATTTTGCTCCTTCAATTTAGTTGTTAAAAAGTAAATATTTCTTCTAGGATTTCATGACTTCTTTCCTCTTATAATAATGCTTTATAATTAAAAATATTGTATTGAAATAATAATTTCAGCATCTGGTGTGTCATAGAGCTTACAAATGTAGACAACTAAGATTAAATGGGTCACTTTCAAAAGTTTGTTCTTATTAAAGTTACTTTAATAAGAATCTCTTCTATCTCTTGATTTCATTAGTTATTTCTGCAGTTAATAATAATTATGCACAATTAAATGTGCAAATTTTTCTCTTTCACTCTATGCTTTGGGCTAGAAGTAGTACGATCTTGACATATAGTGGCAGATGTTTGTTATACACTGAACAAAATTATTTTTGCAACACTTTTGTTTTTGCCCCCATTTTTCATGAGGTGAACTCAAAGATCTAAGACTTTTTCTATGTACACAGAAGGCCTATTTCTCTCAAATATTGTCTGTCTAAATCTGTGTTAGTGAGCACTTCTCCTTTGCTGAGATAATCCATCCACCTCACAGGTGTGGCATATCAAGATGCTGATTAGACAGCATGATTATTGCACAGGTGTGCCTTAGGCTGGCCACAATAAAAGGCCACTCTAAAATGTGCAGTTTTACTGTATTGGGGGGTCCGAAAACCAGTCAGTATCTGGTGTGACCACCATTTGCCTCATGCAGTGCAACACATCTCCTTCGCATAGAGTTGATCAGGTTGTTGATTGTGGCCTGTGGAATGTTGGTCCACTCCTCTTCAATGGCTGTGCGAAGTTGCTGGATATTGGCAGGAACTGGAACACGCTGTCGTATACGCCGATCCAGAGCATCCCAAACATGCTCAATGGGTGACATGTCCGGTGAGTATGCTGGCCATGCAAGAACTGGGATGTTTTCAGCTTCCAGGAATTGTGTACAGATCCTTGCAACATGGGGCCGTGCATTATCATGCTGCAACATGAGGTGATGGTCATGAATGAATGGCACAACAATGGGCCTCAGGATCTCGTCACTGTATCTCTGTGCATTCAAAATGCCATCAATAAAATGCACCTATGTTCATTGTCCATAACATACGCCTGCCCATACCATAACCCCACTGCCACCATGGGCCACTCGATCCACAACGTTGACATCAGCACACCGCTCACCCACACAACGCCATACACGCTGTCTGCCATCTGCCCTGTACAGTGAAAACTGGGATTCATCCGTGAAGAGAACACCTCTCCAAAGTGCCAGATGCCATCGAATGTGAGCATTTGCCCACTCAAGTCGGTTATGATGACGAACTGCAGTCAGGTGGAAACCCCGCTGAGGACGACGAGCATGCAGATGAGCTTCCCTGAGACGGTTTCTTACAGTTTGTGCAGAAATTCTTTGGTTATGCAAACCGATTGTTGCAGCAGCTGTCCGGGTGGCTGGTCTCAGACGATCTTGGAGGTGAAGATGCTGGATGTGGAGGTCCTGGGCTGGTGTGGTTACACGTGGTCTGCGGTTGTGAGGCCGGTTGGATGTACTGCCAAATTCTCTGAAACGCCTTTGGAGACGGCTTATGGTAGAGAAATGAACATTCAATTCACGGGCAACAGCTCTGGTGGACATTCCTGCAGTCAGCATGCCAATTGCACGCTCCCTCAAAACTTGCGACATCTGTGGCATTGTGCTGTGTGATAAAACTGCACATTTTAGAGTGGCCTTTTATTGTGGCCAGCCTAAGGCACACCTGTGCAATAATCATGCGGTCTAATCAGCATCTTGATATGCCACACATGTGAGGTGGATGGATTATCTCGGCAAAGGAGAAGTGCTCACTAACACAGATTTGTGAAATAGGAAAAATAGGCCTTTTGTGTACATAGAAAAAGTCTTAGAACTTTGAGTTCAGCTCATGAAAAATGATGGCAAAAACAAGTGTTGCATTTATAATTTTGTTCAGTGTATGTTAAAATCAGAGTTTTAAAATCAATACGTGATCGAACCGGGAGCCAATGAAGTTGCTGGAGCACTGGGGTAATGTGATGGCGTGAGGATGTATAAGTCAAAACCCGCGCAGCTGAGTTTTGAATATATTGTAGTCTCTTAACAGAACTTGCTGGTAAACCCCCAAAGAGAGAATTGTAATAATCGAGCCATCATGTGATGAAGGTATGAATAAGCCTCTCAGCATCAGGCCTAGAAAGAAAGGGTCTAATGCGAGCAATGTTACGAAGATGGAAAAAAGCAACTTTAGTTATGTTTTTGAAGTGAGAATTAAAAGTCAACTGTGCATCAAAAATCACACCCAAAATACACACCTGAGCAGAAGCAGATTTTTGGGTATTATCAACTGAAAGTTTAAAATTACAAAATTTAGTAATATTAGATGGAGTGCCAATTAATACAATTTCCGTTTTAGAACAATTTAGTTTTAAAAAGTTGTGTTTCATCCATGCCTTAAATTTCAGCAAACAGGCAGAAAGAGTTCAAAAGGAAGAAGTGGAATCAGGCTGAGTGCTAATATAAATCTGGGTATCGTCCGCATAACAATGATAGCCCAGGCCATACTTCTGAATAATCTGCCCAAGAGGCAGCATGCAAATACTAAATAGAACAGGTCCCAAAACTGACCCGAGGGACACCCTGACACAAAGGCGCAGTCTAAGATCTATTAGTACCCAGGTAAACAAACTGAGAACATTCTGAAAGATAAGATTTAAACCAGTTCAACACAGTTCCAGATAGACCATTATGTAGTAGTATTAACTTCATTATGCTACTAGACAACAGATTTCCCAAACTCTCAATCGCTCGTGTTTTCCCCAAATGAGCTGCACAAGTGATGAGAGGCAACTTGACATTGAGATGTCATTAAAAGTTGATTTTTAAAATTCATTATGAATGACTCTGTCAGCTCCATGCTGATGATGCCAGATGCTGGGTGTTCAGTACATTAAGAAACTCCTTCAAGGTAGACTGCAATATTAAATTTAGATTTTATTTCTGCAAACTCATTACTCATATAATTGTAATGTCCTTTACTCAAAGATTACTAGTTTAGTAATTGGTTAGTCAAAAAGGCTTGGTTCCAGAAAATGCACATATATTATACATATATATTCCTGTCACATGCTCTGAAATGTTCATATAGCCTAAACATAAAAGACAAGTTGCAAAAACATTTAGGTTTTGAAGAGCGAGTCCCAAATTCCTTAGCATCCATAAAAATACACCTACATTCCACTCACACATCTAGAGTGAAATTTCCACTCTCTGGAATTACATTCTCTTTATATAAATAAATATAAATAACATATTTATAAAAATATTAATAATATATTTTAGTTTTGGCATTTTGATTACAAAGTTAAAAAAAAATTAAAAATTAAAAGAAAAAAGTCAAAAATGAAGCATGCATGGATGAATCGTTCACAATAAGATCACAAATGCAATGTTTTGAAGAGTGAGCCCCAAATTCCTCAACATCCATAAAAAGACACCTACATTACTTTTAAACATCCAGAGCAGTCTCCACTGTCTGCTCATGTGGTTCATGGAAACTATGTCACAGCTGACTGCGGTCATCCATACAAGTCAAGACTGCATGTGAGAAACTGGGAGCACATGACCTACTTTTTACTGTCTAGATGATAAACATGTCCCATGTTACAGTCATACAGATGATGTCAAGCTGTTATGCTGGTCTAGCTCTTCATAAACGGCCAAGGACAAATAAAGATTCTCCTGAACCTGGTTCAGTCATAATTTAACCAGGGAAAAACATTCCAAGTGTTTACTTTAAAATAACAAGAGTATAAAAAGTGTGATCCTTGTAATGTGGCTCCGCCTCCCACAGGACCTTATTTAGTTCATACTGACCTACCTTAGTTTTTGAGAGGGACATTAAATCTCTGTTCCAAAAACCTAAGATGTCATTTTGGCAAAATTATAAGGCAACAAAAATATAAATATAAAATATTTATAATTTACCAATAATATATTTATAAACGATATCAATAATATAGTAATGGTATTGATGATAATTTTATTTAATCAAAAATTAATTAGGTTTAAAAAAATTAATTAGGTTTGCTCACAATAAGATAAATAACGCAAATGCAATAACGCATTTAGAAAACAGCCGTTAAGCATAAAACATTTCTCATTACTGGAAATAAAATAAATATTAACTGAAATAATATATATATATAATATATACACATACACACACACATACTTATTTAGTCCTAAAATGACTAAATAAATATAAATAAACTAAAATTAAAATTTTATTCAAAAATATTAACAAAAATACCATATTATATCAATGATACTAAATATAACACTGTATCTTAAAAGGCTATGGACTCACCTTCATCCTCATGTCACGGCCATGCTTCTCCAGCTCTTTGCGCATGTCTTCACGGCCCTGCTTGCAGGCGTTGATCACCAAATAGTTCCACTCAATAGGCTGGAAAACGTGCGGATTGTGGGGCACGTACAGGCCAATTTTGATCTTCTTCATGGTGTGCTGGTAGCGGCGGTACGAGTCCTCAAAGTCGAACACCAACTCGCTGAGCGTACGGAAGCTCAGAGATCTGTCCATAAGGTCAGCACGTCGACTCATACCCAGGGTGCCATATCGGCCGTTACAGTAAACGCCCAGCACCACGTGATGGAAGTGGTGGCCGGAGAACTGGGTCTTAAAGCTGATGGGGAACCGTTCCACGGAGGTCAGACCATTGGTTAGGTAGCTGGCAACACAGGGTCAAGGATTTCGCTAACGTTCATTTGTGATGGGTTGGGTGAAATCAGTCAAAAAATTTTCAAGTCAAAAAATAGCAGCGGCTCGTTAATGAAGTGATAATTAAATGGCAAACTGATTTTTATCAGTGTTAAAATTCAGGAGGATACCAAAGTGTTTCATGAAAAATACCAAATCCTCCCCAAGGTTTTTAACTTGGTGTGTACTATTGATTTTTCCAAATCCAATCAGAGCTTTCAGTAAGTTAGTTTTGCTTACTTCCTGAAAATCGATCCGCTAATGTCTTACTTTAGGTCAATAAGAAGCTGCCCTTAACAACCAGTTTTTCAATTCAGACTCTATTCAGATATATGACAGTTAACATTTGTGAGTATATTCTCAGAACCGACAGCTTTTAGTCAGCTGACTTAAAAGTGACAGTGATAAGCGATGCGTTTTACGCAAAGTTGAACATTGTTCAACTCTCTGTGATGAGAAATAACGCCCAGCGCTCGGCATGCTCCTGGCGTTTTAAAAAACGCGGCCCTCCCATTGAAAACAATTGAAAAAAAATATATGCTAGCCTTAGGAAAAAACGCTTTGGTGGACACGCGGCCTTAGACTTAGAAGCTGCATAGCAACACATTAGCAACCATCCATAACACTCTAGCAATGTGGCAACAATGTCTGCATGTGCAAGAACCAATAAAAACACCCAAGCAATGACCAAGCAACTACACAATGTCAAAAAATGTAGTTCAAAAATATGGACAACCCAAACACTAATAACATTAATATAAAAAGCTGAACATCTCAAGTCGAACAAAAACCTTCTCTTTCCATGATGTTGCAGGGGAGTGATTGTATCAGCTTACAACATGGCGCCGCGGATGGCCGACTCGGTGGGGAGCTCTCCAGTGGTTTTAATGTTTTTTGCTATATTCCCACAATCAGTTTCACCAGGGACGAATTGCTGAACATTCAGCAGTACACACCACCCAATATTTCACGGTGTATTGTCACTGTAATCTCTTTGTGCTGTGGAAGCTTCTATCACCAAAACAAATTCCTCGTATGTGTAAACATACCTGGCAATAAAGTTATTTTTTATTCTGATTCTGAATTTGGTCAGCAGACACTCAGCTAGACTGGCCTTCCCCTTGGGCTTTACCTTGTCTCTGCTTGATCTCTCCTGTGGTCTTATGTTAGTGATCTGTGCTCACTGCGGCATGGCAACACATGATGCGGCAGTTGCTGCCACGAGGAGTCACCAGGCTGTAAGTGTATCAGCAGGGTTCACACCAGGACCCATCTGCAACTATGGACAAAAAAAATGACTACTTTTTGATCTTAAAGGAATCATATGACGTTGCTAAAAAAATAACATTATTTGGTGTATTTGGTGTGATGAAATGTGTTTGTTAAAGTAAAAAAAACCACATTATTTTCCACATACTGTACATTATTGTTTCTCCTCTCTGCTCCGCCTTTCTGAAACGCATCAATTTTTACAAAGCTCATCGTTCTGAAAAGCGAGGTGTGCTCTTATTGGCCAGCTATCTAGTGCATTGTGATTGGCCGAATTTCTCAAGCGTGTGACGGAAATGTTACGCCCCTTACCATACTGTGATGCCATGTCCCGGCTCAACGAGACAAAACCAATAAAACCCATTATAAACAAGGCATTTGTTGCATCCAGTGGGGACATAATTACTGATTATAATTACTTATACTTTTTACGCGTTGCATTGCATCTCACCGCGTAAACATAAAACCATGTCTGCATTTGTGATCGGAGAAACGACAAACAACAAGCGCTGCTCTACACTGCTCAAAACTCGTGTTTGAATCGTCAGTGGCAAATCCTTTAAATATGAAAATGTACTTCCAGGCTGTGAGTCAGCATTATTTGTCAGCATCATAGACTGTATAGGGTCAGAATGCGCGCCGAAGGGGAAGCAGGGGAACTGAATTCACCGAAACTCCGGCATTGTAGGCTACTCTCCCAGGAAACAATCGTCCTCCGTAAAATGTGTTGCACACATCTGAATATTTGGTTTGAACTGTTCTGGAACAGTGTTGTAAATACAACTTAACCACTGATTTCTAGTCGTGTCCTCTTTTGGAAGGACAATCAAAGTAGTTTTGCTTTCACAACGAAACACACAGCGTCTCCACGACATGGCGGCAGCAACAATACTACAGCGAGAATCAAAGTTACGCCTTCTTTCTTTGCGTGAACATTTGGGCGGTGGTATGCAAATCTTCCCACACAGTGACGTAGACATGTGGGGGCGTGTTTAAAGGAGGCGTTTTAGGAGGGCATGGACTTTTATCAAGAATATCTCTTTGGGTTTGAGACTTCAGGGATCTTATCTACTCACGAACAGCTTGTAACACGCCAAAGAGAAAGGAAAACTTGAAATCGCATCATATAACCCCTTTAATGCCATCAATCACATCTGTAAACTTAGTTGTATTTCTTTTAGGGTATCCATGATTTTTATTTACGAAGTACAGTACAACCAAAACAAAAAGAGATTAGCATGACAACTGTTCTCCTTTCTGATGCTAATTTTGAATTCATGTTGCCTTGAGGTTGCTAAAATGAGGAAATTATGCTTTATTTTTTGCAACCACCCTTTAAATGAATCATTATCATCACACTTGTCAGTAAACAGTGTGCCTGTGCCTTTTTGCTGTTGGGTATCGCTCAAGCTGCTAAGTCAGCCAAGAGCACATACCACAGATCTGTTGAGCCATGTGTGTCCAACAACACAACGCAACGTACTGGAATGGCTTCACTGCTTTGCCATCTGCCTTTCAAAAGACAATCACTAGCACAATATGCTGGTATTCAATAACACAAGCATTCTCATCTATAAATCAAAAACTCCAGTGGTCCACAAACAGTTAGGCTGTTCCTCAGTTGGGATGTAACGATACACCAGTTGTCACAAATCGTCACATTCAAATCGGTTGAGATGTTAAATGAATCGCGATACATTTGGGAGTGGGATTTCATATGAATGTATCTCTGAGGGGAACTGACTGTCTTTAGGAAAGTTTAGATGGAATGTTCTTTTCATCTTGCCTCTGTATTATACATAGTATAGTAGTGTTCATAAGTGTAGTGCTGCTTTATTTACAGTGGTAACCAAGGAAACGCTGAATCGCTGCTGTTCCATAAGCGCCACCTGTTGTCAGATAGTGAAATTGTGCTCTCATTCAGCCCGTCTACTGTTTTTGTTTTGTGCAGATGTTTTATGTAGTATAGTTTCACAAAGCTAAAGTCAGAACATAAAAAACTGCTCATGCTGCATTTATGCAGCATCTTTGTTTGGATCGTGATTAATACAGCGGTTGCCTTTCATTTTAATTGGAAAGAGCACAAGCAAAGCCTTAGTTTGTTCATATGAAAAGATTTCTTTTATTTGTATTTATTTATTTGATTTGTTTGTTTTAAAATTTCAATGTAGTTTTGTTATTCGACATTTCAATTTGACAAAGAAATCTGCAGCATTTTGTCCAAGCAATAATAAAAGATTTGGCTCACGAACAGTAGGCTGCAAATAGGTTAATAGTAATTGAGGCCTTGGTATCATCAGCAGCAACATTGTTACTGGTTGGTGAAAATCTTTACATTTTGTTAAGTAAAGCAAACATTTTTTACAGAAGAATTTTTTACACTGGTGAATCATACGTAATAAGACAAAACAGTGAGAAAGCAAAGTTACATTTAGATTTTTTTCAAAAGGAGAATTGTTAACTCAAGCCCATTATTCTTTTGTAGCATTTTGAACACAAAACTTGTTGTTATTCAAAGTCAATGCAGGTTCATTCAGTATGGTTTTGTTTGTCTGCAGCTCTTTTGAGTTTCCTTCTCTCTCTCTGTGTACACAAATACACACACCCACAAAACCCCCCAGCAGTGTTGTAATGAGAAGACACCAGAGGATCACATTACCCATCAGCAGGGCCATGTGATCCTCTCAGCAGCAGTGCCGTGAACTTCAACATTCTTATCTGCAATGCACGCATACCCAAACCTGTGGGGATTACTTCTGCTATAGGTTCCAAAACACAGTGTTTTTGTATGAAAAATAAGTGAAGACCAAACACTTCTCCTTGGGTTGTCCTTGTAATATAACAATTAAAAATGCTGACATTGCAGATTTAAAAAGTTTAAAAGAATATGGCCTAAACTAGTTTTACATCCCATTTTTTGGGGTAAATCCATCGTGGACCCCTACAGTTGAAAAAATTATTATCAGGATATCTTCTTTTTGATGTTCAGAACCAACTGAAATGTTTTTTTAAGTTGTCAAATGGTTTCTGCGCTACTATTAACAACAAATGGAATTGCACTAGGTATAGCCCCGCCCCCAAGCTCACACAATTGGTTATGTTCTGATTGGGTAAAGGCAAGTTCACACCAAGAACTACAAAGATAACAATAATGATAATCATTAATAATGATAGTTCTGTTTATTATAAGCACGCGCTGCAGTTTTGTCATCTGCCACTCTAAACGCTCAAACTCTTTAAAGCAGAATGGATTCTGATTGCCTGTCGATGTTTTTATCATTCATTAGCTGAAAAAAAAATGTTTTGGAAGTGATTCCAACAATATTGTTCTTAAGCACCATTTCGTTATACTTGTGGTGTGAATTCTGCTATTCTTTTACATTTAAACAGATTTTTAAAGGGGTCATAACATTTAATCATTTAATCAAGCTCTACTGTAGAAATGGCTCATTTGGATATTGTGGGTGGATATTGTGGGATTTGTGACGTTATAAGGGCAAATACATTTGCATATGACTAAAAATGGATCATTTCACACAGAGAGTCAGAATGAGGGTTTAAAATGATTGTTTTTCCATTTATATATTTGTCTAGTAAGAACTTTTTATGTGCAGCAACCTTAAATTTACAACAACAATAGCCTCAGTGTTCTCTGATACTCTACTCATTGTTATGATGTTTGAGTCCTCTGGGACTGAAGGAAAAACCCTTGAGAGCGCTATAGATTAAAAGACGGGTTTTGTACACAAAGATACAAATCTCAAAGTGACGTAAACTGGAACCCTTCATCCTCCCGCTCTCCACTACAAATCTGCATGAAGCGAAAGCATCTATTTGCAACTAATGACCCATGAGGGCTTAACTCAAAGTGAAGTCCTCACTGCAGCTCTCGTGAAACAAACCGCAATCTGCAAAGCAGATCTCCACAACATTTCTCTGCTGCACTTGGCATTTGCACGGACAAAGATGACATTCACCTTGTGTTAACCCTTGGCCTGGATCTGATGAGCTAACTGACACTAATAGTTCCTGAAAGAACTCACCCTCCCAGTGGCACTGAATGGCACAGCTGCATCGACTGCATGGACAGGAAGCTGCGCCTCCCTTCAGGAGAATCTACTACGACTCCTAGTTTCCTAGCAACAACTGAGCCTAAAAGCTACGGGCTGAGTTGAAGGGGTGGGGGATCATGAGGGAAGACAGTGATTTGAAGCACATTGCCTTTGATAGATCTCTGCTTAGTCTTCCATCCCAAATTCAGCAATTGAGAAATCAACAATAAAAATAAAAGGGAGAAATGGAGCTTTCCCATGACAAATTAACTGTGCTCCACGTTCCCGATAGAGATAATTACTTTTATAAGAACTGATTTATACATTAGGGACTGAAGGATGTTCAAGACTAAAACAAAAAAGCACTAGATTTCTACATTTTCAGAAGAAAGTACCCACATCTATCTATTTTCTAATGCTTGTTATTGACTTTATTGTAAACTATTTATCCATGCATGTTTCATTGATTTCAATTGAGAGAATGCATTCAATCAATCATTATTTATGTACACAATTATAGCATTTTTTTTAACAATTACTCGTAATATTTCTATTTCTATTTAATTTATTAAATATATAAGTTATAATAGATAAGTTTAATTTTGGTCGTTAAACATATGACAGTTTGTCATATGTGACCCTGGACCACAAAACCAGTCAAAAGGATAATTTTTTTTAAATTGAGATACAGATTCTGAAAGCCGAATAAATAAGCTTTCCATTGATGTATGTTTTGTTAGGATAGGACAATATTTGGGCGAGATACAACTTTTTGAAAATCTGGAATCTGAGTGTGCAAGAAAAATCGAAATATTGAGAAAATCGCCTTTAAAGTTGTCCAAATTAAGTTCTTAGCAATGAATATTACTAATCAAAAATTAGGTTTTGATATATTTATGGTAGGAAATTTACAAAATATCTTCATGGAACATTATCTTTACTTAATGTCCTAATGAGTTTTAGCTTAAAAGAAAAATCGATAATTTTGACCAATACAATGTATTTTTGGCTATTGCTACAAATATACTCCAGCAACTTAAGACTGGTTGTGTGGTCCAGGGTCACATACAATATTTATATTTAATTTTATTTCTGCTTTTTTTATTATTAATAAAACCGTTTTTAATAGTTTTAGTATTTGTTAACAATAACAACACTGTTGTCAGTAAAGCTAAAGGATACATTCCAAGGATAACTGCTTCAAGACATTTGATGGGAAGTGATTCTCGTATCATCTCTCTGGCGGTCTCCATCAACCTGGAAAGAGATAAGATTGATGCAATACAGGGTCAGTGACTTCTTTTCAATCTAAAATGAACCTAAAACTTGTTTTCATGTCTGGTTATAAGCTCTATATTTTGTAAAAAAAGGCATGTTGGCACTATTTTAAATTAATATCACACCTGCTTTTTAAAAGAGATTGTCCACCAAGAGCACAAAATAAGTGTAAAACAAGAAGGAACAGGAAAAGGAAAAGACTAAAAACAGGAAAGACGGGGTAGACAGACAGGATGATGAAATGCCTCAGTGATGGCATCACTTACCCACTCAGAGGTCTGGTTTTCTTAATCTCAAAGAACTGCGTTCCCGTATGGTTGTATCTGTCAGCAGTTAAGGAGCTACGTGAAGTTTGTACGGCTCATTTAGGAATCCTCGTTTTCCTGTTTTTTCATTGTGACTCGTGCGTATCAAAATGCACAGCTGCGAACAATATCCTGTTGAACCCTACATACTCATTACCCTTCACAGACATTGCTGTATTTGTGGGAGGAAATTCAGATGCTGATATATTAATCACACACAATGATGGATATAAATAGCCACAGCAGCTGAAGTCATCTAACCATCAAGTAGCATAGACAAGGCAATATCCAACGTAAAGGAATAGGTCAGCCAAAAATGAAAATTTGCTTAAAATGTACTCACCCTTAGGCCATCCTAGATGTAGATGAGTTTGTTTCTTCATCAAACAGATTTGGAAAAAATTCTGAATTACATCACTAGTTCACCAATGGATCCTCTGTAGTGAATGGGTGCCGTCAGAATGAGAGTTCAAACTTCTGGAAAAAAGAAACACAATAATCCGCAAGCAATCCACATTACTCCAGTCCATCTGTTAACATCTTGTGAAATAAACAGCTGCGTTCATAAACCATAATAATGCTTCCACTAGTGAAAAAGTCCATCCCCTGTTGTCCTCTCGCATCAAAAACAACAAAATCTGTTTTTGTTTGTTATGGTGTTTTTGCTTCCGATTCAGACAAGACAACTTTTTGACTGGAGAAAACAATATTATGGATAGATGACTCGTATATTAGCAGCAATGATTTGAATTTAAAATGTCTTGATGGATTGTTTCATGCAAACACACAACATTTCACTTTACAAGGCTGTAATTGATGGACTGGAGTCGTGTGGATTACTTGTGGATTATTGTGATGTTTTAATCAAGTGTCGAACTCTCATTCTGACGGCACCCATTCACTGCAGATCATCCACTGGTGAGCAAGTAATGCAAATTTTAATCTAAAATTTCTCAGATCTGTTCAGATGAAGAAACAAACTCATCTACACCTTGGATAGCCTGAGGGTGTATGAACTTCCAGCAAATGTTCATTTTGAGTGAACTATTCCTTTAATCTATATCAAAGCCACCCATTTTCACTGGCAGCCTTTAAAGCATGAGGAAGAAAACTGTAAAAATCAGACAACCAGAAGTATGCAGACCCATGCTAATATGTCTCTACATTAAAGTGACTGACACTCCAACCAAAAAGGCACTTTGAGTAACTCAAGTTGACTGACTAAATAAATACACCGAGTGAAAAAGCATAACTGACACTCCAAAGAAATGAGTGCCCATGAATCCATAATGCATCCAGAAGAAGCAGAGGTTTAGAATACATCAGTTAAACTTTTCCAGAGCAAACGGTTTGTGGAGGGTAAAGGATACTGCAAGTTTCTCATGTAGTTCTGGACAGCATGGAGCCAATCAGGCACAGACATCGATGGCTTAAAGTTTGGAACCGATGGCACGAAGTGCTGTGAAAACAGAGAGAGAATTAGCAAACTATATCCTTAAACTTTTATTCAGCATTAAATTGATCAAAATTAACAGACATTTATTGTTACAAAGGATTCCTATCTCAAATAAATGCTGCTCTTTTGAACATTCTATTCATCAAAGAATCCTGTATATCAGTATATTAGAAAGATCATGTGACACTAAAGACTGGAGTAAATTCAGGTTTGCCCAATATTTGTTTGTGCATATATTTTTATTCTAGTGTCACGTTATTGATGTGACATACTTCTAGTTAACATTTATTTGCTGGGTTTCAACTGGATTTGTTGCTATATTAAAAAACATCAAGTTGAGCAAGCGTCATCTTGAATTATGCAGAGTCATAATTCTCCAGTGTTAAAATCTGCCTTGGCAAAAGCTAAATTGATGTGTGTAATAATGCGTGATACTTCAGTATGACATTACAAGATGTTACAGATATAAAGAAGTACATAGCTGCAGGCATATACTGTGATCATGCAGCATTTAATTTCTGTTCATGTCTCAGTGTTTTGTCCATATACTGAAAGTCAATGAAGTCTAGTGTGGTTTCGGACACCACTGACTTTCATTGTATATGGACAAGAACAGTCGAAACTAAAATATATTCCTTCATTTTCTGCAGTAAAAAGACAGTAAAACATTTCTGGAGCTTTAACTGAAAAATTAGTGTTTACTATTGTCATTTTGCATTATTGACACTATTTTCCTAATTAATGCTGTTCAGTTGCTTTGACACAATCTGTATTGTTAAAAGCGCTATATAAATAAAGGTGACTTGACTTGACTTGGAGCGATTTTAGGGCAAGTAAATGATGACAATTTTCATTTTAGGCAGACCTATACTTTTAAATCTTAAATGAAATGTAGTATTAAGAAAGGGAGGTTCGAGGTTGTCACTTGTTTTTATCCTCCTGAAGTTGGCAACCTAGTCACAAGGTAACTTTTGTAACCACAAGGAGATTCTCAATGGCATGAAAAGTCCTTATCATCTATAGAAACAGTGCTTCATTGATCATTTGAAACCCCTACAATGACACTTCTAACCGCGAAGAGAATTAGCAATGAATAAAGGTCATCCTCTTGCACACAAGCCTCCATTCATTAGAAGAAAAGAAGCAATTAATGAAAGATAGAAAAAAATCTCTTTATTACAACACATTAACAGCATTAGACCAAAGCTTGACACATAAATGCAGGCAGGATTTACCATTGGTTTTTATTTTCAATAAGGGCACCGTGAGTGTTGGAGACATGCAAGAGCTACTGGGTCACAGGAGGAAATGAGAAAGGGAATCATCTACTACTGTTTCCTCTTTATCTCTATCTGCCCAGTGCAAGAGAACAGAAGAGACTGTGGAAAGGCAGGGTAATGGGGACCTTTGGTTGAGATGTCAAGGAGTGGCCCAAAAACAATTTGATAAAGGCCCAACTGTCAAAACAACAGGAATTATGCAGATTATCCCTAATAACACTCTAGCAAATGGATTGCATCCAAAAACCAAGGGATTGGCTACATTTCACATGCATACACTACCATTTAAATGGGATTATTGGTAGGTCTTGGTAGGCGAAATGATTTCATGTTTTTGAAAGAAGCTTCATATGCTCACCAAGAATGCAACTGATTGATAAAAATTACAGCAAAAACTGTAACACTCTGAAATATTATTACAATTTAAAATAACTGTTTTAATATCTTTTAGAATGTAATATATTCCTGTGATAGCAAAGCTTGATTTTCAGCAGCAATTACTCCAGCATTCAGTGTCACACATAGTCCTTCATAAATCATTCTCATATGCTGATTTGGTGCTCAAGAAACATTTCATATTAATATCAATGTTGAAAACAGCTGTGCTGCATGCTTAATAATTCTGTGGAAGATGGGATTCATTTTTACCAAGACAAAACAACAGAAATGATGTGGATTATCTGTAATAGCACACTAGCAAATGGATTGGATCAAAAAACAAACCCAAAAGATGATTTTAGGAATGCATCTGTGCTATAAATTAGAATTAATACTCTATTTAGTTTTTGAATATTGTTAAACTGCACAACCATGGACACCGCTGTACTGGTAGCCTATGTGGTTTGTTTACATAATAACTGCAGTGTCCTTGGATCCAAGGTCCTGGAGACTCTGATTCTCCATCAATGTGATCATTCACAGGTTCACAGTGAGTTCTTTCCCATGGACTGTCACTCTGTGGCTCTAACATGTCTGGCTAGTGTCACAGCCGTTCGCGTGACTCCTAATCTGGTTGATCTGATGGAGTCACTCAACGCACCTGTTCAACACTTGCTGGTGGGGAATGTCCCTTAATAAATCACTTCAACATCTAGGGATCTGACTCAACACTTTCGACAAATCAGACGCCTTTGTTCTGCACGCATCAGCACATATGAGCATGCTGGAATGCACAATAGTGTTAACTAAAACAAAAGAGCCAGAATAAACACACAGCTTGACCCTGTGAATGCTGTCCGTCTGAGCACTGAGGATTACGTAGTCTGCGATTAAGATTCACTTTATT